TTAAAACAATAAAAGGCTTGAACTACTTCAGTTGGTGTGCAATGAATCTAAAATATATGAAAGTTTAATGTTTATCAATACATTACAGAAAAAAAAGAACTTTATCACAATATGCTAATTTTTTGAGAAGGACCTGTATTTACTGAGTTGTAGGTGAAGGTGCACAGCTGAGTGTTGAGCCATATATCTGTGAGGCTGTTTAGTTTCTCCAGTACAGCCCTCCCTGCCTCTGATGTGTCCTCCAGTGTATGGATGTGGTCTAAAGCACGATGGTTTATTTAGTGATGTAGAGTGACATCATAGGGTGCAGGGTGAATATGTGTGTGTGTGAATGGGTAAACGAGGGCACAGATTGTAATGTAAAACACCTTGAGTATCCTGGTTGGATAGAAGAATGCTATATAAGTACAGACCATTTAACATTTATGTTCTGGGACCACTTTGCTGCTTTTGGCTAAGAGGGTCTTCAACCTTTGCAGGGCATAATAAAATCTCAAGATTATCAAGGCATTTTGGATCAAAATGTGCTATTCAAAGACAACAAATGGTCTCCGTCTCAGGTCATGTGACCTCTAACTTAGTGACCCAAAATACTCTAAACAGCTTAATACAGCCAAGAATGGATCAGAACAAACCACTGGACTATTCTCAGATGGTTTTCTAAGTCTTCAATTAAATCCTGTTAAACATCTGTGAAAGGAGCTGAAACAAGGAGTCTGAAGAASGAACCTTCAGGAACCAGGCAGATGGTCTCCTGTCCYGAGCCTGGTTCTGCTGGAGGTTTCTTCCTGATTAGCAGGGAGTTTTTCCTCTCCACCGTTTGCTCAGGATGGGAGACTGTGATGAAGTGATTCAACACAGCCTGCTGGTTTCTTCTTTAGATTATTATTTTCATGTGCAGTGCCCTGAGACAACGTAAGTTGTGACTTGGCGCTATATAAATAAACTTGAACTTGAACCTTTCAATCCTGAGGCATGGAGCAGCTGGTAGATGTGGAGTGGGACAAAATACCTGTCAAGTCTCATAATGAGTTACAGAAAGCAGTGATTGCCTCAAAAAAAGTTGTGCAACACAACATTAAGGGTATCATTCTTTTTGTTTAATTTTTTATAAACGTTGGATCAAAATTTTAAAAAGCAAGTTTTTTTATTAGTTTATTTAGTTAATTTTAAGTCAAAAAGAAAAAAYAAGTAGGTCCTCTGGATGGGTTCTTCTTTAGTGAAACGCAGTGGTGGGCACAGTTCCCCTAAAACTCTAAAGCACTAATAGGGGAACTAATTTCCTGATTAGTGCTTTAGGGCTTTTGCTAATTTTGAAATTAGTGGATTAGCACTTGCTGAATTTATAGGCTAAATTTAGAAGCACTAACTATCAATGTTAACAGCTGATGGTGAAAGCTGATGCACATTTTGTTCATATGTGTCACTTATCCACTATTTGACCATATATGAACCCAAATACAGCTGTGGAAGGTCAATGATAAGTCTCAAGACAACATGTCAATATGCGAGTCATGTTTGTTGAAGAATGTTCATGGGTTGACTGGATTATTTTAGTGCTTAAGAATTAGCGTTTGCTAAAACTTTCAGTGCATTAGTGCTTTAGAATWAGGGGACCTAAATRTTTGAGTTAGTGTTTTAGAGCTAGTGGAACTAATGTTCAGATTAGTGCTGCCCACCACTGGTGAAATGTTTCATCTCTCCTCCAAGAGACTTCTTCATTCTGATGAGTTTCAGGTGAACTCAGCCTTATAAGCACTGCCTCCACATGG